ATATTCAAATTTGAACTAGAAAACACTCATTCACAAAATTTTGTTTTATTTCTTATGCCAGGTGTCAAGTAAAAAATGAGTGATGAATAATAACTAATAAGTCTTATGCAGTAAAAAAATCACTCATAAAATGTGTTGTGGATTACTAATAGGAATAATAATACAAACATATTTTATAATTTTATAGTTCTTTATTTGTTAACGAATAAATCATAATGATGTAGGTACATTAATAATAATTGTCTACTCACTAAAGAGTAAAAACCAATGAACAAATAGTCCTCCTCCACCGATTGTAATATGATAATTAAACTACGTGTAGTATACATACATTTTAAATAATAAATATGCAACAAGGTCAAGCATTCAAAGTATTGCATGTTACCTTTATCGTCAAAAAAAGTGTATAATAATAAAATATTTAGGGACACTTTCGCCACTTTATTCACCCACGCCACAACCAACGCTTAAGTCTCAACACTATATTTTACGGGATGTTTTTTATGTATAGTCATTACATACATTTTTAATATTACTTCAAACGTTCGGTAAATGGGCCAATAATAAGTTATAAGAATTGATGTGAGTGGAGGGTACTAAATACTTATAATGCGTATTTCACTATTACCTAACTATATACGGTTACCATTATTAAAGGGATTCGATACCGACCGTTTTTAAGGAGTTCTGTATAGCCAATTTTCTAAATGTGTGCGTGCGTGACGTGTAAATGTGTGCGTAGTAAGTACTAATAGTGATCATTGGCGTGTACTGTGGTCTGTGAGTTGTGACTGTATAGTGTAGGTGAATGAAAATGAAATAGCAGAGCACTCCCGCACGTGCACACGCACATGTGCCAACAACTAACTGCACGATAACACAAATATTACTTATTTTATTAATTTGTCTTTATAAGTATAAATATTTCGTTAGTTGCAAAAACCATTTTATTTATCCGATAAAATTCTTGAAACAATTTAATTTAAAATAAATTTCTTACATTTTAAAATTCTTAATATTTAATATAGAATCAATCAGAAACATGATACTACAGTGGTCAGTGGGCAGGAGTGCAGGACCTGCTTGTAGAAAGAGAAAACGAAACCCATTACACCGTAGAGCACTAGAAACGAACTTGACAGGAAAATACCTATTGAAAAACCGAGAACGAGGTGGAAAGATATGGAAAATCTAGAAGGCTGTTAAACTACACGGGGGGGGGGGGGGGGGGG